GGCTCCGTAGTCAATAATTGTAAAAGATAAAAGAGTGTGCATTTTCGTAATCTCAAAATATCCAAAACACCTTAGTTAAAAGGTTCATTACATAAGCTTGTCATATAAAAAATAAATCAAATGTTTGTAGCAAACTAATAGTTACACCATAATCCAAAAGGTACATATAAACTTGTCACATGAGAATAATACTCAAAAGTATTACTCATAACGCCATTTTATAAAGACCTCCATGAAACATGTTCAAATCAAGAAACGACATCCATTTTGATGCTTTCATATTGTCCTAGGTTCTGCAACAAAAACGACTTTGATGTTGATGCTTTCATATTGTCCTATTTCCTGTAACAAAAATGATTAAATGAGCATAAGTATCATTTTCAATTTGAAAATCTACAAATCACATAATACAACATAGACGAGTGATTATTTGGTGGTTTTGGAGCATTACTCCATATCTTTTATCACTTGACACTCATCAAGTTCTCCAAACTTTTAATAAACCCTATTGAATCTCACAATTTTAACCAATAAATATTATGTATGTGAGTATGCCTATAAAAAAGTATGTCTATTTGAAAACTAAATTCCCAAGTCCAATTGGTTCAAAGAAAATGGAGCGACAAAAAATAAGTGATAATATAATGTTTGGTATTGTTTATCATTTGTGCTTTTTAAGAATGCTAGAAACTCCAAAGAAAGCAGCTTACAACATCATTGACAGACAGAAGGGATATAAACACAGGATTTTTATATTCCACAACCATGAAGGGGACAACTAGGAAATTCTTTTGAGTGTACACCATCTTCTCTAATCCAATTCACCCTTATATCTCTTTTAATTATTCAAAGTATGTCTAACATGTTTCTTCAATAAAATAACCAACATAAATAAATTAAAAGAACAAAGGAAGCAACCTATTTTACAACTAATATGAAAATAAATATTTGCTAGAGAAGAAAACTATGACAAACTGTGAGTTCTTTTACAACTTTAAAGCAAAAACTACATGCTTTGCTATTCGTTTTTCTACATGTTTTGTGGGATTGTATTGATGTGGTTTTGTGAGCATACATTTGAGGGGTTTATAATAATAAATAAATAGAAATGGAAAAGAAAAAAAAAAAAAATAGGAGCAACAAAAAGTGTGCCTGTGGCTTGGTATACAAGAGAGGCAATTGAATATAGGAGCCCACAGCCCATTATAATCTCCAGTATAATATACTATTTTTTGGATTTGTCCCTATGATATTGATGGTTTGGTTGTTGGTGATTTGAGATTGGTTTCAATGATATGAAGATATGTATTTGGGCATTTGTTTCATAGTTGCTAAACTAGTTAAAAAGGTGGAATGTTTCAAAGTTTTTATGTTGATAATAAATATTCTTTAATTATGTCTTTAGATTCAAAAAAAAAAATGGTGTACATAAATGTTGAATTTCCTCTAATCACATTATTAAGCCAACAAAACATTACAAGATGTGCATTAAATTCATGGACAACAATTTTCTCAACAAAAAAATAAGTAAAATAAATAAATAAATAAATAAAAACATAACAAACCAATAAAGAAAAAGGTAGGCACTATTACTCCATTGTGACATTTTATCAAATACCTAACATACATACATAATAGATAGAGATGACCCACCTCTAGCCCTACTCAAACACAACAAAATGCAAAACAAATCAAAAGCTAAGTTTGAGTTGATCTGTTATGTACAACAGAGAGAGCAACAATGAAACAAATAGATGAAATAGAGGCTAGAAACCTTAGATCACCTGGTTCTTGCGATGCCATCCTTGGTTTCGTCACAAGCCAACATATTTCAAACCCAACTAAAACAACAGCCCGTCGGAGCCCCTGGCCTCTCTCCACAATCGACAAACTTCGATGGCTTATGGAATCCACCGACGACTCCTCTAACTCGAACGTGCGACCGCCGAAGAAGAGGATCCACCGGCGCAAGCCGATCTCATTTGCCGCACGAAACATCAGACCCTCCTATCCTACGGTGATGATGGTTTCGGATTTGATGGTTTTAGCCCAATTGGGAAACAGTTTTATCATTTGTAGCCTATTTGTACATAACAGATCAAGTCAAACTAATGAGATTGGCATGTGTACAAAATGTACATTCTTTTATTCAAAAACAAAAACATAGGAAGAGAGGGGGAGGAAACAGAGACTAGAAGAAAGCAAAGAGAGGTAGAGAGAGAAACTGATAGACCAGAAGAAAGATAGGGGTAAAGAAAGAGAAACAGAGAGAGCAGACTAACCTTTAAATCACAGTGGTGCTGTAGCGTGACGTCGTCGATACACCGGTAGAGGATGAACGAAGGCTCAATGATGAAGTGTTGAGACTAGGGCACACAATCGAGGCTTCAAGGAGTTGAACGGTTTTGTTGGGGACTGATTCTGATATGTTATTCAATCATCAGTGACAGAGGGGCCCATGTTCTGCTGTTTTGCCCTATGGTGTGGAAAGTTTGGTTTAACATATTGAAGTATTGGAGGATGGTTTGGGTAATGCTATGTTTAGTAGAGGGGCTTCTTCAATGGTGGGCAGGCACCAAATTCAAAAAGTTGGTTCTCAAAATTTGGAAACTAGTTACCTTAGCAGTGATGTGGTCAATTTGGGGGGCTTGAAATGACTGCCTATTCAATGTTAAGCAAGTAGATTGTGATAAATTAAAAGAATAACATGTGTGTGGGCATCATTTGATACCTAGTAGTTGAAGGGAAGGGGCTAAAGAATTATTACATAAATAGATAAGAAATTGAGATATCATGTAAAAGCCACATGTATGTTTTTGCAAATTAAGTCTTGAAAAGCATTAAACCTGAGGCAACATACATGCTACTATATAACAAACTCCAAGTGCATGATTTGATCAACCACAAAACAGTGTTCAAGAGAGGAATTATATAATCACGTGATGAACAATATTTTTCTATAAAGTTGCGCTATATTCAGAGATTTAGATTATGTTTGGTACAATTTTGGAGCTATTTATTTATTTTGAGAATATATATAATAATGTTTGGTGTACCTTTTACTTATAATTTATGAGATAAAACTAAACATAAATAAATTAAAAGAACAAAGGAAGCAACCTATTTTACAACTAATATGAAAATAAATATTTGCTAGAGAAGAAAACTATGACAAACTGTGAGTTCTTTTACAACTTTAAAGCAAAAACTACATGCTTTGCTATTCGTTTTTCTACATGTTTTGTGGGATTGTATTGATGTGGTTTTGTGAGCATACATTTGAGGGGTTTATAATAATAAATAAATAGAAATGGAAAAGAAAAAAAAAAAAAATAGGAGCAACAAAAAGTGTGCCTGTGGCTTGGTATACAAGAGAGGCAATTGAATATAGGAGCCCACAGCCCATTATAATCTCCAGTATAATATACTATTTTTTGGATTTGTCCCTATGATATTGATGGTTTGGTTGTTGGTGATTTGAGATTGGTTTCAATGATATGAAGATATGTATTTGGGCATTTGTTTCATAGTTGCTAAACTAGTTAAAAAGGTGGAATGTTTCAAAGTTTTTATGTTGATAATAAATATTCTTTAATTATGTCTTTAGATTCAAAAAAAAAATGGTGTACATAATTGTTGAATTTCCTCTAATTACATTATTAAGCCAACAAAACATTACAAGATGTGCATTAAATTCATGGACAACAATTTTCTCAACAAAAAAATAAGTAAAATAAATAAATAAATAAATAAAAACATAACAAACCAATAAAGAAAAAGGTAGGCACTATTACTCCATTGTGACATTTTATCAAATACCTAACATACATACATAATAGATAGAGATGACCCACCTCTAGCCCTACTCAAACACAACAAAATGCAAAACAAATCAAAAGCTAAGTTTGAGTTGATCTGTTATGTACAACAGAGAGAGCAACAATGAAACAAATAGATGAAATAGAGGCTAGAAACCTTAGATCACCTGGTTCTTGCGATGCCATCCTTGGTTTCGTCACAAGCCAACATATTTCAAACCCAACTAAAACAACAGCCCGTCGGAGCCCCTGGCCTCTCTCCACAATCGACAAACTTCGATGGCTTATGGAATCCACCGACGACTCCTCTAACTCGAACGTGCGACCGCCGAAGAAGAGGATCCACCGGCGCAAGCCGATCTCATTTGCCACACGAAACATCAGACCCTCCTATCCTACGGTGATGATGGTTTCGAATTTGATGGTTTTAGCCCAATTGGGAAACAATTTTATCATTTGTAGCCTATTTGTACATAACAGATCAAGTCAAACTAACGAGATTGGCATGTGTACAAAATGTACATTCTTTTATTCAAAAACAAAAACATAGGAAGAGAGGGGGAGGAAACAGAGACTAGAAGAAAGCAAAGAGAGGTAGAGAGAGAAACTGATAGACCAGAAGAAAGAGAGGGGTAAAGAAAGAGAAACAGAGAGAGCAGACTAACCTTTAAATCACAGTGGTGCTGTAGCGTGACGTCGTCGATACACCGGTAGAGGATGAACGAAGGCTCAATGATGAAGTGTTGAGACTAGGGCACACAATCTAGGCTTTAAGGAGTTGAACGGTTTTGTTGGGGACTGATTCTGATATGTTATTCACCCAAAAAAAAGAAAAAGAAAAAATCAAATTTGAGTGCGAAATGAGATTTTTTTTGGCGCCCCTTTATTTTTGCTTGGCTAATTGTAGCGGGTGAGTACAAACCGTCACCATAAAAAAATATATAGCAGCACTTTAAGGAAAAACTATGACTAAAACTTGATTTTTTAGCAGCGGCCAACAACTGTCACGATAGTCCATTTCTAGCAGCATTTTTCGAGCTGCTGCAATAAAAAATGCTGGTAAAACTCGATTTTCTTGTAGTGATTTATTTGAAATTGGGGTTGTTTGTTCAAAACTAACCTCCATTGTTTGTTACATTATTTTAACAATAGGTACGGTTTAAATTTGGGTTATTTTCAATTGTATTTTACATTGTTTGTTCCATTGTTTGTTTGTTCAATTGTATTTTTCCATTGTTTATTCTGGGTTTGTAATCCTAACATTATTTTTCATGGTTTGCATGTTAATGTTCAATCGTCTATGAAGTTCGTTGACTTCTACAATAACTATATATTATTTTCTTTGTTTAATAAATTTTCTAAATTTGGAGTTTATTTGGGTTACTAATAAATTGATGTATTGTATTCATTTGAGTTTCATGTCTTCCTGTGAATTCACTCTCCACTCTTTGAAAACAAAAAAAAACAAAAAAACAAAAAACAAAAAACAAAACAAAACAAAAAAAATTTGATTGATTTTAATTCATTTTTAACCATAATAATGCATCTTGAGGTAGTCTGTAGTTTATGAAAAATTTTACTTTCCTGTATGATCCAAAGGTTTATTCATTGATGTTGGGAACAGGGGTCCCTGTTGTGCTCAAAGCACAGCAGTGACTGTGGTACCTCTATTTGAGGTGTATTATGGTCTTATTTTTATGATCTAAACCGTTCATATTGTAGGGTTTCTTGAGTACTTCATGCCTACCAAAAATTATATTAATCGGATATCAATAACTATATAATCGAATTGCATATTGTTTATGCTATTTCTAAAGAAAAAACTTATTATTTATTTTTTTGGTTATCGATCATATAGTTGTTGATATCCGATTAATATGATTTTTGATAGGCATGAAGTACTCAACAAACCATACAAAATAACGGTTTGGATCATAAAAATAAGATCATAATACACCTCAAACGGAGGCACCACAGTCACTGCTGTGTTTTTTAGCACAACAGTGACCTCTTTTCCTTGATGTTGAGAGTGGAATGAACAAAAGCCTAATGAAATTGTTGTCATTGTCCTTTGAATGTTGCAAAGACATTAATGAAA